AAATATATTTTAAAAATAGGCATAAAGAATTATATAATTCTTATGTTTACACATAAGTCCAGAAATCTAACCATATACAACCTTGTAGCAGGACAGTCCCGCAACATTCCTTTTCCTGTCCCCTGCCTTCATTCACCACCCCCTTCTTTTTGAACAATCATCTACCCAAGACACAGCACGGCAAACCCAGGCTTTTGGAGGCCCAGAACCTTGGACACGCTTGGACTGAGTGCTCAGTGCCTGAGAAACATCAGCAGGTTTTTGAAACTAGCAGTTAATTGGTAAGATTCTCACCCTGACTAACTATACATGCTGATACCTGTGAACCAAGCAACTGCACTGAAGATAGCAATGTGTGATAGAAGGGTCATGCCTGGAATGCCTGTCATTCTGGTCTCCTAAATATGAACTTCTTGTCATGACATACCAATTATTACCATACTGTCTCTCAAGTAAATGTTTGTTTGTTTGTTTAAAAAAAGGGGTAATAAATGAAAAAAAGACACAAGGAAAAATGATGTCACAGGACTGTCCTGCTACAATGCTGTATATGGTTAGATTTGTAAATCTCTGTGTAAAAATATGAATTGTTCATTCATATTCTTCAAATATGTTTCATTTTTTAAATTTTTTTCTCCATATTCTGTAGGGACTTAAAGTTTAACATATAAATACCTGATGGAAAATTCCTGTTCCATGTTATGCCTAAGATGTTTGATATTCAGACAGATAGTGAGCTTAAACCCAACTGCATATGTTGTAGGGTAATAATAAGCTTCTCTTCCGAATGGTTAACAACCTAAGTTTGCAGACCAAAAATTAGAGAAATAGAAGGGCTGCAAGGACAGCCAACATTTTGACCCTAGGCTTTCAAGGTCAGTGGCGACTCAGGACATAGGAGAACCTATACTGTAACATCATGTAACTCAGATGTGTCCCAGATTTTCTGATCAAGAAGATTATAGGGCCACAGAGCAACGTGATCGATGATGTAGAGTGTGCCTAAGGAGAGTCACCTAGAAAGAAAACATTCTCTCAGGCTTTCACAGAGAGCACATTGGTCAAGCAACGGCCATGACTCATCCACATGGCTGACACTGACAAAGGATCTGCAAACTGTGGTACAGGGTTACAGGATAAATTCTGAAGGTACTT